AAATTGAATTGAATTGTATATTCTTATATTGGTGGGTATATAGGTGGGTTTTTATAAATTCAATAATTAAACTGTTCAATTATTGTTTCTGTAAATATTTCCCAAAGTAAAGGTCTAAATTGTGTTTTTTAGCTTGTCTTTATAAAGTACAATTCTGGCCAAGGAAATCCTTGAATCCTTTGTTTCTTTATGTTGTTGGCCAGGAAAAAGTCTCTAATTGTTATGTCTTTATGTATGTTGTTTAGTACTAATTATAGGGAAATGTTAATGGATTATCTCAAACTTTATCCTTCATATATATTCAAATCTGTACAACATTACATACTGTAGTTTTTTTCGTGAAGGAAAATGAGAAAAAAATTATCCCCCCCCCCCCCTTCTTTTTACTGAACACACAAGCAAACCTTAGCCAAACCCCAGATTTACATACTACTGCAGTTTATACCAGCACTGACCGAAGGCAAGATCTGGGACTGGGAGATGAGGCTGTGAGGCTGCTTGTTGTTGTTGTGGCGGTTGGTGGGGATGACCTCCGCCCAGGTCACCTGGTAACCTGTCAGCTGCTGACTGGGCGAGGCCGTGGACAAATCCCAGCTAAAAATGGCTGTCGTGTTGCCGCCCCGGACCTCAAAGGCCGCCGTCAGGTTGGCTGCCTTCACCAGGACCTTCTGAGGTGACAATGCTGGAGGAAGCACAGCCAGGGGTTAAATAAAGACAGGTGCTAGCATGGTGAACAAGCTCTAATGGTATGTTCATGATCGACATGGGGAAGCTCAAAGCAGGCCTGAGGCATGAGCAAACTGCCAAGGACTCCCAAAAGGAGCATGAAAAAGACAAACTAGAGCATGCTGACAGCCTCTCAACCAGTTTGGAATATTTGGCACATTTGTGTATATTTTTTCCAAATTATGCTCCATTTCAACCTCTTTCAACTTTGTATGTTCTTCTATAATATTCACAGATAGGTTTTCATTAGTATATAATCACCTGAATATAGGTATTGTTGCGATAGATAGATGGTTAGATAGATAACTATAACTATAATGATCTTTTTATGTACAGACGACAAATGGACAGACCAAACCAAACACACACACTAGTCCTTTAAGTGAGTTTAAAGAGCAATTTAAGAGAAAAGTTCAACATTTTGGAGAATATGCATGTTAGTTTTCTTGCCTGAGACTTAGATAAGAAGACTGACACCACTCTCATGTCCGTATGGTAATTATGAAGCTACCACTGGTAGCTGGTTAACTTAGCTTAGCACTTAGACTTAAAACAGGGAAATATAACAGACATTCTAAGGTTATGAAAACACAATTCTTATTTTTAGGTGATTATACACTAATGGAAACTTTTATTATTATTCACTTCTGCCAATAGATCCTCCTAAATGTTTCACCCAGGTCTTTAAATTTAAAAGTTTTAATTTACTGTTGCCTGTGTTGCAGGAAGTAGTGACATTAACAAGAATTGTGCTGTATTCAACCATAAAATAAATAACTTAAGGTTAACATTAAGTTAGATTAAAGACTGATATTTATTTGTCAATTATTAATTTATTTGTTAAACTGTGTTAATCCTAACTAATTATTCACTGTAAATTTGATGTAATATACAAAAAGAAGAGTTGTTAAAAATGTTAAACTATTAGATTTGCCTTTTCATGTTGCCTGTACTCAATTTTTAAATCTCAACTTTTTTTACTTACCATGTAACTATAGGAAGAACGAGAAAACCTTTGGTTATTCCAACTTTGGAATAACATATTCACACAATATATATATTATATATATATAAATTCAGATGGATTCAGTGGAAATGAAGCCTAAAATGTTTATCATGTTGCATAATGTTTTGTTAGCAAGTGACACCAGCTACAAACAGTGTAAACAGTAGCTTATTCAGCTCAAACAATTGGATTATTAGTTAATAGATAACTAATTTCATCAACTGTATGCAATATTTTGTTGAAATTTCAATTTGTTGAAAAACAGTTTTATATCAAGTGCATATTGATGACAGCAGACCTTCGGAAGGTTCAGGAGAAGTCTAGGTGTGCAGAAATCCATAGGTAAAATAATCCATCACATTAAAGGAACCGCACTAAGCT